TCCAACAAACAGTCTGCTGATTGGGCTCTTTGGCCGTCTGCTGCGTTGCCCTAGCAACCTGGCTGGGAGGACGCAGTTGTTAGGCCTCCAGGCCTCTCTCTGTCTACCCAGCCTTGGGGCTCTTGGCCAGCTCTACTCACTTCCGGCACCATGTCGGTACGAACGCTACCGCTACTCTTCTTGAACTTGGGCGGGGAGATGCTTTACATCCTGGACCAGCGGCTGCGGGCCCAGAACATCCCGGGAGACAAGGCCCGCAGAGGTGAGAGGCGCCCGGCTCGCGGAGCCAGCCCCACGCCCCGCAGCCCGATCCTTCACCGAGCACCCACAGCCAGACCCACGCCCCGCAGCCCAGCCTCCTCACCCCTCCCTAGCTCCCACAGCCAGGCCTTTTTACAGACTGATCAACACCCCTGGCCCCTGCACTCTTATAGCCAGGGACCTTTCTCACAGTGCCACAGCCCATCCAGTGAGGGCTGCTCAGGAGGCAAATCCCCAAAATGTTCTTTTCACAGCAGAAGGATTTAATATCTCCATTGAATATTATTAGGGTACCTCACATCTCCCCCCCAATTTCTTCATCCCCTCAACAAGTTGAGGTGATTTCCTAATCTCTCTTGATAGCCAGTCCCTCCCAAATGTAGGAATCCCAGCTGCCCACCACCTGGTGACATACCCTCTGCTAGTCCAAGCATCCTTTTCCCCCAGGGAACAGATTTTGATTCTCCATTCCTCTGTGTAGTATCCTTCATAAACTGGAAGCCAGTCTTGCTCATTTCAAAAGCTATTTCTAGAAAGGCGGGGTCCTGAAATACCATAGATAAATAAGAAAACATAAGAAAGCTATAATTCTTTACTTTCACAATTGTTGGAAGAGAGTGAAATTGTGAGAATAATTATACAGAGTTTAGAGTTTCTAAAATGTAAAATCTGTCTCCCGTATACACCACAACTAATCCCCCAGAGAAATGATCACCTAGAACTCTGCCACCCTTTTTCTCTCCCTCTTATTCCCCTCTCAACCAACAACTGCTTTCTCCATATTCCCTGGAATTAAATATGAAGGAAATATTAGATTTCAAGGTAGAGGAGGAAAAGTTGATGTAAAGGTAACTGACATGGCCACTGATTGAAACATTTATTCTCTCCAACAGTTTCTGTATGGCTCAATGTTAATCATACATATTCAAATATTCACTATTGTGTCTGAGCAATTGAGTCCAAGTCCATGCATAAAGAGATAAAAAGAACTCCCTATAGCATACCCGCTCCATTCATTCTGTACACTGCTGCCAGTGAGCTTTCTAAAATGCAAATCTGTTCATACTCCCCACTGCTGTCTGGAGACCAAGTCCTTGGCAAGACATTCTAGGGCCCTTCCTGATCTGATCTCTGTCCACCTCTGCAGTCCCATGTGCCACCATTGCCTGCCTCCTACTTTGTATCTTAATACCTAACTGCTTATATGTCTCCATTTAAAGCATGTTTATTCCTGTTTCCATGGTAGTAATCCCCATTACTACCCCAAACCTCTCATTTCCATGCTAGAACTTCTCTTTCTTCCTACATTATTCAGCTTAAGATTTATTTCTGTCAGGATGCCTCCTTACATGGGGAAAGGGCCTGCACATGCTCGCATAGCACCCTATGCATGCCTCTTTGCCTTATCACTGACCATATTACCCTGAAATGGTCTGTGTGTCTCTTCCACGTGATTATCTTATTCATCTTTGTACTCCAGCACCTAGTATAATGCCTAGACCAGAATAAATTGATGCTCAGTAAATATTTGTTGAACTGATGATCTAAATTGGCTGTTTTATGACATTGCTATTTCTTTCTCAAGAAGGTTCTGTTTTCCTTGGCACCTATGTTATTTGATTCCATTTGGGCTAATGGCACAAGTGAGCAGACAGGTAGTTCTTGGACTGGTAGTCTGCATTTTGGAAGGCAGTGTAAATTGGTAATTAAGAGTGTCCTCTCTCAAGTCATACAGATATGGATCCCATTTCCCGCTTTGCCATTTAACTAGTTGTATGACCTTAGAATGTAATAACCTCTATAAGCCTGTTTCTTTTTCCATAAAATGGGAGTAATAGCATATACCTTACAGTGAAGTTGTAATGTTTGAATTAGATAATGTATGTATTTAACATGTTTAGCACAATAAATGGGTGTTGTCTTTCAAGAGAAGGTCTGGGTAAGACCCTGTGAATACTAGGAGACTGGCTTCCTTTGTCTTCAGGAACTTCCTTTGTATTCCTGGGTTTGCTAGATACAGCTTAAGGGAATTTCAGCCATCTTTGGTAATTACATTCATGCACTCATTACTTCCATAGTTTGGCTCAGTGTCAGAGGTCATGTAAGATGCTTGGTGGAGCCTGATCCAGCCCTTCCGCGCATTCACGAGTGATAGGGCTTTTGATTAGTCTGGTCCAGTAATTGATTGTAAAAGTGGGGGACATATCTTCTTAATGACAACAACAAACATTTATTAAGCACTTACCATGTACCAAGGACTTCCCTGAACACCTTAATCCCCACAACTATACTATCATGTAGGTTAATATTACTATCCCCATTATACAGATGGGAAAACTAAGGCTAATTTGTCCAGGGTTATATAGCCGGTAACAGAAGGAGAAAAGAATCTGAACCCAGGTCATCGGGCTCCAGAGCTCATACTCTTAAGCTATACGTCCTTAACTGCTACACTATACTTTCATACCTGGGGGTGACTGTGTCAGAATCTTTGGGTGCGTGGGAGGGGGAGAAGTTGGAAGGTCAGAAGGAAAAGGAAAGGTTTGGAAAAATATTCAATATACCCAATGATTTTATAAAAGAAAGTACCGTAGTTGGCTGATGGGGGCTTGTAGAAGTCAGAGTGAGAAAGCAGGGTAGAGAATGTGGGATTCGAAGTTGAGAAACACTCATCTATCTCACTGTTTGGAGTTGGTGTAGCTGCAAGAACATGAGCCAGTGACAAATGCCTGTGCACCGAGGCCTATCAAACACCAGACACAGTAAACTAGTCTTCTTTGAAGCATGGAATAGAAACCATATTTCTTCTAGATGTTTTCATTATCTTACACAACTAATTGGTCTCCTAGAGGCCATCCTGTTCCCACAAGGCCAGTACAAATAGTGTAGTTTTTCCCCACAATACAGCCTCTAGTTTAGCATTCAACAGAAAGGAAGTGCCCTATGGGGCAACTTTCGAATGTTGCATATTGAATGTTGTCCCACATTTTAAGCAATAGTGAAAATAATAAAAGCTACCTTTACCTCACTCCCATCCTCTTAAAAATGCTCATAAATAAGACCTTATTATATTTCGTTTGCAGTCCTCATTTTACAGAAGGGGAAACTGAGGCATAGAGCCATTCAGTGATTTTCTTTTCCAAGCCATGACGTGTAGTACTGAGCAACCAAATGGTGGTGAGGTTCTGTTTTTATTTTTCTAGTTCCACTTCAACAGGCAGCTCTAGATAGCCTTGTGCCTGCCTCCCACTCAAAATGTAGCTAAAGTGGAATTGTCACAAACAAGTCATCTAGAGAAATAGTAGAAAAACAGGGCATCGGTTACCTTCCCCTGGATCCTTAAGTGGAAAGGGGCCAGGAGCACAAGACACTGCAGAGACCTCTGCTGGAGCCAAGCGTCGTTGCCCACGGGAGTGCCTCATACCCCCGGGGCATGCATTTGCCAGCTCCATTTTTGTCAGCAGCCAGTAGTCACTGTCTTGTAGAGCAGCTATGCCCCTTGCAGCACCACGGTTCCCAAACACACCTTCAGGTGGGTCCAGCTCCACCTTTCTGAATTCCCATAAGCCTATCAGGCAAGACTGCCTGTAAAATAAATGCCACAACAAGATAGATGTGGACATTATGCTAAAGAAGCCACTATCTGCATTAAGAAGGCCTGACTCTTGGTGCCGCTTCCCCAGTGTTTTCTCTTCCAAACACCTGTGACTCTTGTGGGAGAAAGATGGTGAGTTTTCCCAGAGGAGTCTGACCTTGCCATGGGAAATCTTTGCAACCAATTAGGACACAGCCCTGGCTGGCTGTGCTTCCACCACTGGTCTCTTAGGGGCTGTTGATATTGTATATTGAAGACATGTATATGTTTTGATTATAACTGCAGAAATCACCTTTGTAACAATCTAGTGGCAAATGTTTCCAAAGGAGACCATTAATTACGAAATGTTTTTTAAATGTGGATGTGCATAGAACTCAGATAATCAATCCGAGAGTGATTTCTCTAAATTGGAATCTCTCCCAAAAATAAGAGGGGATAAAGTCATCTTTCATCCTTTATGGGTGGTGTCAGTGTCATTCAGTAGAGAAAGTACAACTAGAAGAGAAGCGCTTGGTGTCTGTTATCCATTGCAACCCCACAGCAACCCTATGAGATAGGTATAATTATGATCCCCATTTTACAGATGAAGAAACTGAGGTTAAAATTGCTTGAAGTTATCTAGCTAGTAAATAGTAAAGCCAGGTCTCAACCGATAAAGGGTCTTAATTCTTTCAGATTTCTAGCCAAGTACATTTTTCGTTATTTGGTCTCCTCTCGGCATCTTCCTGACCATCTTTGTCCTCAGGAGCTTTCTTTACAGGCCACCATTCCTCCCTCTTTTTACCTGGCAGTCACGTAGCTCTATACAAAGAGTATATCAGCAACAAAGACGTGTTTTCCTTTTAATTTACATTTCAAGTTTTCCCATTAGAGCAGTTCCGTCTGTACTTTAGAAAGAGAAATCTTACATTCATAAAAAATCAGGTTATACAAAAAGAAACTCTCTTCTCTCTGTTCTTGGAATTATTCCTCCTTGTGGAAGTTAGTTATATTCTCATAGCATTAACGAGGATAACTTCTTGAGTCTTTCGCAACAAACCCCAGGGTAGCTAATCCTTCTGAGTTTCCTCTCCTCTAGTCCACTCTCTATAACAGGGGTGCCCAAACCCCGGGCTGCAGACTAGTACCAATCTGTATCCTGTTAGGAACCAGGCCGCGTAGCAGGAGGTGAGCAGCAAGCGAGCAAAGCTTCATCTGTAGTTGCTAGCCGCTCCCCAGCACTAGCATCACCGCCTCAGCTCCACCTCAGCTCATCAGGCATTAGATTCTCATAGGAACACTGGTCCCTGATGCCAGAAAGGTTGGGAATGCTGCATAAGATAGAGCCTCTCTAGGGCTTGTTTTTAGAACTTCTTTATCCATCATCCTTTTAAAAGTTTCACATGGAAGCCAAAGTATTCACACTAGACATTCATGCAAACATGAAAAATAAAATTTCATAGACCAGATAATTGGAATTGGTATTTTTAAAGCCTCTTTGAAAATGATGTTCTTGCTTCATGAACTGGTGTTTTCTTTTTATATGCTTCATGTAGATGAATGGACAGAGGTGGACAGAAAACGAGGTATGCTATCTCTGGGCTGCATGTATTCAGTCTGCATCCACAGGTCCTTTGTCAGTGGGGCTTAAAGTGGGACCACTTTAAACATTTCAAAGTAAAAAAAATAGGCATGAGTTTCTCTTTAGCCAAGATATTGGTTATACATTTAAATCTTTTGCTTAAACAAATACAGCATGTAAGATGAAATCCAAGCAGACTTTGCCACAAGGACCATATTACACATGAGATACGTGTCTCTTTTCATCAGTTCCAAGCTTTGCAGGGACAGCTGGGTCAATAGCTACACTTCTGAGTAGGTTGTCCTATTTGGGAGTCCCTAGAGCAATTCTGTGGTAGTATCATATAACCAAAGAATTGTGCTTCAACATGAGTGACTTTCCTTGAACCATTCTCCTTAGCACACAAAGAAATCTGTTGAGCAACCCAGAAAAATGGGAGCATGTGACTGCATGGCTGCCAGAATTGTGGGCAGAAGGCATGATATCATGCATGCAGTATGGCCCTATCATGCCAAATCTTCGGTTTCCTCTTCACCTACAACTAGCAGCAAACCTGAAAAAGTTTGCCAATTGCTCAAAATAATAGCCTTTCTCACCTTTAACTGTCATGAGTCCCTTCCATCATTTGACATTTGAGTGTGGTTTATGTATGTCATCAGCCACCATCCTCAATATTTTAAATGCTCTTACACACCAAGTATGCTGAGGAGATAACATGTAATGCTGAAGAGCCTAGGCATTAGAATCAAACATCTCCATTCTAATTTCAACTCCACCACTGCGTGACCTTGGACTTTAAGCTCTCTGAGACTCAGTTTTCCTCCTTGATAGAATAAGGATAATAATTCAGAGTTGCCTTAGGTATATAAATGAGATAAAGATCTAAGCCCAGTGCCTGGAACATAGTAAGGATTGGAAACATGGTAACCATAGTAGCAGCTTCTCTCTTTTACCCTTGATTCCAAATTGCATGTTCCCATGAACAATTAAATCTACAACAGAGGTTTGGTAAAGACTCAGTTGCTTTCATCTAGAGCCAGGCTCAAAGAAAAGCCCAGTCGAAGTTTCTGATACACTTTTATTATATTTCACAACCATCTTTTGCCACTTCTCTTGAGCAATTTTGGCCCACCTCTTGACACATGGCAGAATGTCAGGTGAGATGTGTGGATTTTGAAGGCTCTTTGTATATGTAATTGAATCACTGGAATTTATTTTACCTTAAGCATTCAAAAACAATGAGCAGAAACTAACTTCGTATTCTGAACTCAGGACTAGAAGTCTCATATGTTAAGAACTCAGTTAACTAGCTCTTCTGATGCACCTGTGAAAAACCACTTTGCTCCCTGAACTAAGGCCCTTCCTGATGAAATCTGGCTCCTAGTACATTCCTGCCTCGTGAAACTGCAGAGCTCATGTGAGTGCCAAAAACTAACAGCGAGACAGACTAACACATGTGGTTAAAACTATTTCTCAGGTTTAACTTAAATACAACCTGGGCTGCTTCTCCAGGACAAGGACAACATTTACTTCCTCTTTGTTCTCTGGTGTTTATCTTGGTGTTTGGTACAAAGTGGGCTCGCCTCAACCAGGTGCCAGGCAAAGCACGTTGTGAAATGTAGACATGTTAATCTGTGCCCCCATATTCTTTCCAAAGAATTAAATGAGAGTACTGGGGCCCAACCGTAGAACTGCCATTTCCCCCTTGGGGGCATTTGTGGTCACTGCTCTGCCCACAGGGACAGGGCCTGCAGGTGTACTTTCTCTAAGTTCTTGTGTAAAGAGCCATGGTAATATATAGCTTATTCAGTTCCCAGAGGGAAAGGCTTCATTTTGCTTTTTACTTTGCCAGAGCAGCTAACAATCTCTTTGCAATTTTCTTTCTTTTAGAACTGATTTATTCTAGATTCTGCTAAAGGCTAAAAGACCCAAGATTAATGTATCAGAGCTGATATGATTCTTTAACTTGAATTATTCCTCTTTGGCACTCTTCCCTGGCCTACATAAATCCATGATAAATTCAAATTCTCTCTATTGAGGACAAATGTGTGGCTTTTCACTTGTGCCTATATTCTTGCAAATTCTGCATTTTATATAGGCTGCAGTAAGAACATCTATTGCAGGTACTTGCTTGTTTAGATTAAAGGCAAAAGGCCATGCATGAGACATACTCGAAAGAGTTATGTCTCCAAGCTGACCACACTGGGGACGTGTTAGTGCATATTAAGGGCAAGCTGCAATGGGTTGAAATTGCGAGATGTGAGTGATACTCTGCGTTAGTAATGGATTTGGTTTTTCCTCACTAATAGAATGGCGTCTAGAATTAAATCCAAAGGTCAAGTGCGAGTTCAACACTTCTGTAAGGAGTCGTGGTCATTTCTTTTGTGTCAAGTTGCGGGGTGGGGGAAGCCCTTTCCCGCCTCTCCTCTCTCTGTAGCCCTTCCATTTAAGATTTAAATAACAACCAGCCCTCAGCTCCTCCTGCCCCCCAAAAATGCTCTTTGAGATGCTTTAAAATGCTGCCCTGAGCCTGCAATACTTCTATCAGGTACCTAAATGTAGAGCGAGTGCATGAAGTCATGACCTCAGAGCTCTACCTTGCCTTCAGTCTCTAAGAGACATGGCCAGAGCCAATCACCTGGCTTGTCCTTTGTGTGGCAAAAGAAAGAGGCATTTGTATATTTCAGTAATAATCACTCATGTTTAGTAATTAATTTTGTATAATTATTTTAAGTAACCAGTTTTTCTTCAGATTTTAATTACTATGAATGTATATTCTCAGCATCCATATATGCTCACCTGTAGGTCAGAGTATATCGGTATAATTAAGAATAATCTGTGTTTAACCATACTTGTTCCTATTTAATGTACCAGAGGGTTTTCCTTGCCTTCAACTAATGATATTCGATTAGCAAAAAATACCTAAATGAATGAGTGAATGAAGAACTAGAATTTTAGACACTTTGGTTTACACACACATTGAGACCTTTAATTCTCACCAGATGGAAATTTTCTATTTAAACAACAGTATGAGACATAGCACTACAGTGTAATATCAATATTATTGATCAAATATAAAAAGTAAGGCATTTTAAAATGGTATTACTCTCAAGTACACGTCTTATAGAAACTTTAGAAATGTTTTCATCTCTAACCAGTCAGTAGATTTGTCTATTTTCATAAACTGTTTTGCTAAAAAAAGCCAAGCACCATTATTGGTCCCATTTTTATAAAATTTAATTTTAAGTAAAACTGTTATAGATTTGCTAAACAAAACAAAAAAAAAGTGATGTTACTTCTTATTTTAAGGACAAGACATAATCGAAAATGTATATAGGAATGTTGTTTAACGAAAGAAGCAACATTTCCCCTATCATCAAGTGAGATAATGTCTGTAAAAGTGGTTTGTAACCTCTAAAGCACAACATTTGTACGTTTGTCACATTTAGGTTTGCCCTGACGTAGTCTCATAAAGCACTCTTGACTCCGCTCTCCATTGGAACGCCCATGTGATTTTCTCCCCAGGAAACAGGTCTCACCATGTACATCAGCATCCCCCACTCTGCATGGGCCCAGCTCCTCCATCCCAATTGTACACAGAGAGCATTTCCAGAATAAAGTTTCCTCCAGGACCTTGCTCAGCTATATCCTCTCCTGTCTCTACAGTTCTGAATGACATCATCTCAACCATGTTCAATCGAAAGTTTATGGAAGAACTGTTCAAACCCCAAGAGCTCTACTCCAAGAAGGCCCTGAGGACTGTCTATGACCGCCTGGCTCATGCCTCCATTATGAGACTGAACCAGGCCAGCATGGATAAGGTGAGCAGACGTCTGCCTCTATCCCCCGGTTGCATTTCTTGTACCTTTTGTGGATGATCATAGCCTGGAATCAAATGAGATGTTATATGCAATGGTGCCTTGCAAAAAAAAAAAAAGGCACTTATAACTATTAGCTGTTGAGTTTTAGAGTTGAGAAGGACCTCAGAAGTCATCTGCGCCAACCCCTTATTATTTATGTCATTCCACCTGCCCAAAGACAGCGCTGATCTTCACACTCATATTTATGAGCACCTTGATCCAACCCTAAAATCTTGAATTCTGCTTCATTCTTAACAAATCTCAGCTCTGAAAACCCGACATTTTTTTTTAAAGCAAATTCAAAACTACTCAGTCTTTACTTAAAACATGAACGTATCTCTCTCTTTGGGAAACAGATTATTAGAACACTCTGGTTTTCAAATAATAATCCCAAGTAAAATGCAGAGAATAGACAAATCTCCTATTCGGAAGAATTTTAAGTAATTTTATAGATACTCTGCCCTCAAGAAAGGAAAACGTACCTTCCCCACTCTTTATGTGTGGGCTGCGCTTAATAACTTCCTTCCAAAGAAGGCAGTACGGAAAGAAAGGGAAAAACAGTTAATGTTACAATGCAGAAACTGACAGACACCACCTCAACCAGGTGATCAAGGTCAACAGCAACAGTGATAAGTCATGTTCCCTGACACGATATGATGAGGGTAGCACTTTACCTCTGTGATTTTCCTCCCAAAAACCCACACCCCTAGTCTAATCATGAGAAAAACATCTAATACCACTTGGAGGTAACGTTATAAAATACCTAACCTGTACTCAAAACCATCAAAGTCACCAAAAACAAGGAAAGTCAGGTAAACTGTCAAACTGTCACAGTCAAGAGGAGCTGAGGAGACATAATGACGAAATGGAATGTGGGATCCTAGAACAGAAATAGGACAGTAGGAGAAAACGAACGAAATCTGAATAAAATGTGGCCTTGTTAATTTTTAAAAATTATAAAGTATTTTCTTTTCAAGTTCCTCCATTATGTGAATTTTTTTAAATCATAAGGACTGACATGCAAGGTGCTAGGCGTGCAAAATCAATGCTCACTCCTTGCTGGTACCCGGAAACCTCAGGGAGACAGACTGTCTTTAACTGTGCCCTCCTACCTCCAGCCACTTAACTTTGGAAAGTTCCTTTATCTCCCTGAGCTTCTATTTTCTCATCTATAAAATGGGGATAACAAGAACTGCTTCATCAGTTCTGGGAGAGTTAAGCAAGAAACATACATATAATCACACACCTAGGCCTGGCACATAGGAGAAGTTCAATTAAATGTTCATTATCTTTTCTGCCCTGCTTGCTGTGCTCCTTCTTTAAGAAGGTTTAGTTTCCCATAGGGAAAGGACACAGAATTTGAGATCAAAAACCCAGGATTCAAGTCTTAGCTTTAACTGGTACAACTGTGAGACTGTGTTTCCTGAACCACTCTGAACTTTCATTTCTTCATCTTACACCTGTGTTTATCCTTTATTCCTAGCATGGCATCCAATATACAACAGGTGCTTAATGTTTGATAATGATGGCAGAGAGTCTCAAATCTATATCTCTAGTATTACACACACACATAAACACACACACACACACACACAAAACCAGGCTGTTCCTGTCATGTGGCACTTTCTAAGTAAAATAACTGCATGTTGAAGAAATGGGATCATATAGAAAGTTCTAGCAAATGCCTTAGGATCGAACCTCCTGAGTTCAAATCTCACTCTGCCACTTACTACCAGCTGTGGGCAATTAGGCACGTTTCCTTGTTTTTAAACTTGGGATCATATCTACCTCATAGAGTTCTCGTGAAGAGTAAATAGGATCAGTGAGGTAATAAATGTGCTTGGCACGACACTCAGATGGTAGTATTTTGTATTTCCAATCCTGCCTCAGACAAGTCCAAACCTTCTCTCCCAAACTGGCTCTTTAAGTCCCCCATCCCCCAGAAGATGTCCTTTTCCCATCGGTAGCATCATCCTTCTCCCAAGCACTAAGTTGAAAATGCTGCAGTCATTTTGGACAGCCCTCATCTTCATTCCCCAAATCTAGTCAGGTAGTCACCGTATACTGACAGCTTTTTCTTCTAAGTATCACATGCTCTTCTTTTCCCTGACTTTTCCATTCCTGCCATCTTTATTTTTGGCCTTATGTCTGCATTATGCCAACAAAATTTCATTCATTCACAGAGTCAATAGATATTATTGCAAAGCTATTAGGAACCAGGTACTAGCTAATCTCCCTAATTCCAGTCTTTCCCTTCTCTCATGTCTCATCATTACCAGACTGACTAGTCTTGCTTAATCACTACTTTTATCATCATGTCAGCTCAGAAAATTTCAGTAGCCCCCTAATTCCTACCACATCTAGTCTAAATTATTTTGCCTGTCTTTCTAAAACCTTTCCTACTCTAACTTTTACTTATCCAACTTCATTTCCCACCATCTCCAACACAAACTGTCCTCTTCCGTCAGGCTGTTCTCATTCTCCCAGGAAAATAGCATATTCATGGCTGCCCCCCGGCCCTCACGCCTGCTGTTCCCCTCAACTACAAAGCCTTTCCTCTTCCTCGGCCAGTTTGAAACCTGTGACTCCCTCCTCCTTCCATAAAGCCTATCTCGACCACTTTGGTCCTCACCAGTTTCTCGCCTTTGGTCATTCAGGGATGGTCATACCATACATGGGGCTTGCTGATATCTTATTAAGTATTTTCATCATTTAAAATTGTTGTTAAATAGTCGTAGAACTTTATACTTGCCACTTTCACACAAATCTTCTCATTTACTCCTCTCAGCAGTTCTACAATGACAGGAAATTAGGGACTATTTTTTACAGATGAGCAAAACTCAGGCTCAGACAGGTGAGGCAGCTTGGCCAGTGCCATTCATTCGACTAGTCAGCAGCAGTGGGGGACTTGAATTTGGGTTTTCGCTCTCCAAGTCCAGCACCCAGTCCCGGTCCCCATAGCTGCCAATATTGTTTCAAACGTATTCCATCAGCAGTACCCATAAGCTGACCAGAAATCCTGGTTTGCCTGGGAAGGTCCTGGTCTACCCCTGTTGTTCCGGCTTAAATATTAATATCACCCTCCCTTTTTCTCTCAAAAGTATCTTCGTTTGAGGGATAACTGATGTGGTCACCTGAGTTGTATGATGTACCCAGAACTGGTTTTCAGTAAATGCTTGAATGTTTGGAGGTTCTGACGTCTGCTTTTATGATCCCATTTATTTTGTTCATGTACGGGTTGGCAGCTCTATGACCTGATGACTATGGCTTTGAAGTATCAAGTATTGCTGTGTCCCCGTCCCAAGGATGTATTGCTGGTCACTTTCAATCATTTAGATGCCATCAAGGGATTCATCCAAGACTCCCCAGCCCTCCTGCAACTAGTGGACGAGACTTTCCGGCAGCTGATTGAAGTAAGATACCATCAGTTTATCACCTCTCAGCCCCAATACTGTTCTCATTCCTCTGTTAAGAACAAGCAGCTTCTGTGACAGAGAGAACAAGATGAGGAATGGGAAATCCTGCCACTCTCCCAGAAGATTCTAAAAATCTCCAAGTATCCACTTTGGTAATACAGTAGGCATTATCATCTTAGGTCCCCACACTCTTGCCTTCAGAATTGGGAAAGCAGTGATACAGAGCCTTGCCATTTTCTCCCTGCTCTTTCAGAAAGGGAGTTGGTGGCAGATGTTCTGCTAAATCTTGGGGAACAGCCTTTCCAGATCTGTGGGAGACAGAAGAAGTGAAGCGTACCCCTGTCCAGGTGTGGCATGACAGGATTTGGTGAGGGAGCAGTGCTGGCTCTCCTGCTGTCCGCCTTGCCCCAGCAGCTGAGTCCTCTCCTTGCTCATCTGGCTCCCATCCCTAAGTGCCCACCTGCCCCTATCTGTCCGCCCTTCTCATCTCAATTCTGACAGTGAATTGCTTCTTTCTGCTTCACCTCTGGCAGGTATACGGGGGTCTCTCTGCGGGGGAGTTCCAGCTGATCCGGCAGACACTCCTCACCTTCTTCCAGGACCTGCACATCCGGGTGAGTGAATGGGCAGCCCCAGGAGCACCCTGCCACTGCTGTCCTAGGGTAACAGGGTGCCAAGGGCTGACATTGCCCAGGTAGTGCCTGATATCCTCAGTGTTTGGCTCCATAACGGTAAACTCTCCGATGACAAATCTCAGCAGTTTATAAATGGACCAAGGAAGACAGTGATACTGCCACTCCCTTCCAGTTACCTTATGTGTCCCTTTAAAATATGGTTTCTTTCCTTCTCCAGAGGAAATGTACTCTCAAGGCCACCAGCCTGATTGATCTCCATTGCAAAGCCTTTTCTCAAACCTCTAGTATCGTCGACTCCCCCAGTATCTGATGCTGCAAGGAAGCTACCCTCCTACTCCATAAAACTCAACGCCTTTCCTCAGTTTTCATGGCACCATACCATCCTGGCCTTCCCCTACCTCTTCCTTCTCCACGCCTCTCATTCCTTCCTCTCCGTCTTCCTGTCTCCAAATCTTCTCTTTCTGCCTCCACCCACCCTGCTCTTTAGGAATCTCTTTGCTCCCTACTTTCTAGCTCCTTCACCTAGGACTCCTGAGTCTAACCTCTCCTCTACCCTTGCCTTGGCCCCGCCATCCGGACTGATATCTCCACCTGCTTCTTGAAACCCTCCATGAGGATGCCCACCGGTGCCTTTCATTTAATGTCTGTAGCTCAACTAATCTCCAAAAGTCAAGTCCTTGCTGGACTTCCTGATTTCTTTTGAGGGCACCATCATTCCTTCACTCACTTGGCTCAGAACCAGAGCGTCGCCTATGATTCCCCTTCTCTGATCTTCATCTAATTGCTCTAAGGCCCCTAGAGTCTGCCTTTGCAATGTCTACGCCCTCCTTTCCATTCCTGTTGCCTCCAGCCTAGCTCAGGCCCTAATACTTCTTGTTGGCTGTTGCCTCTCACTTGATGCTGCCTCCTGTCTTGCCTGCTTCAGACAATTCTACACCCTAACTTTTAAAAACATATCTCTGAGCTTCTGAATTTGGGACCCGTCTCTCTTGGACAGGACTTTGTTCCTTACCATAATTTAACACACTAATAAGGGAAAGATGGATGATGTGGCAAAATGAGCCCAGGCTCCGCAATCCAACACATTTACGTTTGAGTCCCACTCCACCACACCTCCATGACCTTGGGCAAATTATTTCTCTCGAGTCTTAGTTTCAACCTATTTGGAGCTTGTCGGGAGGGTTAACTGATGCAGCATTTGTAATATACATGTATTTGCCAATATATGTATAGTATCCTTTGAACCTTTTGTACATATGCATGTGTAACATATTCACAAAATAAAATTCAAAAAGAAAAAATAGAATATGTTTAGGACCTAATTGTTATTTCCCTTCCATGGACTGGGAAATACAAATAGATTTCAACTCTGAGGCCAATTTTATTTTTAACCCTCATTAATAATTTTATTTGCCATGGATGGAGCAATAATAACATCAATATAAATTAAGATCTCTAATAGTCATCGATTAAAATAAAAAACATGAATGTACAAATAAGATTGAGTTTTGCATTGCTTTAAAATATCGAAAACTCTGCATCATGTTATCAAGACTGTGTATATTTGGACATTATTTTATGGATTGTAGTAATGTAAGCAGTCGTAGTGATTTCTCAAGTCTGACAAGATAAAATTCATTATAATGAAAAGACACTCCTAATAATAAGTCTGTAGCAAATTCATTAAACTATATTAAAACACAAACTACATTAAGCTTTAATTGCTAAATGGGCAAGCAATGAAACATCAGAATGTTCACCAACAGAAATAGGATTCCTACATCCCAGCAGTATTCAGTGACTGATCTGTAACATCTGGCTGGTTTTCCAAGTCTGGTCTTTAATGGTATTTCTGCTCAGCTGCAATTTGTGATTGCCTGTACAGATTTTCTCTGTTTTCAAAATAGTCTTTATGGTTTTTAGATTTATTAGCAACACCAACTAATTAAATCAAGAAAACACAGCTCTAATCTGACACTTCCTTGCTGTTGTTTAACCACAACTCCTCAGCTGATATCCAAAGCTGTCTGCAATATCAAGAAACACCTGACGCGCTCCAATGTGCCCAAGGCTCTGACCTGCTCTGCAGGCCCGGCCGGAGACCACCCAAAGACCGATTCAGTTTGGAATCCTGAGCGGTTATTTACAACCATCTCCATCCCCAAGCCCTTTCAGCAACTCCCCTTAGGAGCTGCCTCCTCAAGAGTAGGTAGGCCTCTCAGGTCACCCTCTCCCTTCCTCTCACTCCCCTTCATGCATCCTTCCATCGTGTGCTTGCCTCATGTTCTTTCCATTGTTTCAGCAGTTGGAAAGCAACATTCCATCTTAACCTCTTCCTAGAATGTTTCTTATAACCGCCACTCCATTATCCTCTCTACTTGGAAACATTTCATGCCTGGAAAACTAGTCAGTCTAACCAATATTTCTTGAGTGCTTACTCTATGCTAGGCACTATTTCCAGTGTCTGAGCTACATAAGCAAACAGGAAGGAGACCCTGCCTTGAGACTCTCTGCTAGTAGGAAGAGACAGAGGGGACAGCTAAGTCAGGTTCTGGTCTGATAACTTTTAGGAAGATGGCATCATAAGGTACAGTTATAGGGGGCTACTGGGGTGGGATGTTGCATTAGACGAGCACTGCCCAACGAACTTTCTGTCGTGATGGAAGTGTTCTGTATCTGTGCTGTCCAATATGATAGCCACTAGCCACATGTGCACTCGAAATATAGCCAGCGTGACTGAGAATCTGAATTTTTAATTTAAATGACTACACTTGACTAGCAGCTGCTACACTGGACAGCACACATCCTTAGATGAGATAGCCTTTCTGGTAACAGGACAGACATTTTAGTTGAGTATGTATGTAATTAACATAGACCTCAGGGAAGAGCATCTAAACTGAAGTGACAGCAAAACACTCAAAATATACCCAGTGTGACTGAGAAACTGAATTTTTAATTTAAATGACTACACTTGACTAGCAGCTGCTACACTGGACAGCACACATCCTTAGATGAGATAGCCTTTCTGGTAACAGGACAGACATTTTAGTTGAGTATGTATGTAATTAACATAGATCTCAGGGAAGAGCATCTAAACTGAAGTGACAGCAAATTCAAAGGCCCTTAGATGGGGAAAAGCATGATGTGTTCCTTGGAAAAAGAGAAAGCCAGTGTGAATGAAGCACATCTAGACAGGAGCGATACTCGAAGTTTACAACCTGTGCAGCATGGGCACTGACTGATCAGAACAGATGCCAGTTTTAAATAAACTGGTACTTACTAGTTGACTTAACTTTATGCCCTTGTAAGGAGTTTTATTCTAAGAGTAAAGAAAACACTTGAAGCATGATAAGGTGAGCGGTAACACGACCTGAGTTGTGTTCTGGAAGGTAAATTGTATGAGATCAGGGTAGAGGTGGGACAGCAGTTGAGAAGTTATTGTGGAAATCAGGTAAAAAAAAAAAGAAAGTGGATTAGGTGCTACCAGTGGAGATAGTGAGATGTATTCATATCTGGGACGTACTTTCAGGGTAGGATCTATAAGACTTAACTAAGAGTTTGGATTTGCGAATGAAGCACAACCATGAAATTTTTGGCCTGAGCAACCAACCAGTGATGCCATTTACTGAAAGGGGAGTATATTTAGGTAGAAATATACTGAAGGGAAATATCTTTGGGTAGAAAAATTAATTAATTCTACTTAAGGTTTGATTTGCCTATTAGATATCCAAGTAGCACTATCAAATAGCAATTGAATATACAAATCTAGACCTCAGAGGAGAGATTCAGGGTAGAGACATAAATGTGAGAATCATCAGCATACAGCACAGAGATGATATTTGAAAACTTCTGGCCACTTGGTGGAGGCTGGTCATTCTCCCTCACCCAGAGGCAGGATATGACAACTGGGGTCAGCATTCAGCCAGTTTCTCTCTCACTTTCAGATCATTAATCTCCTGCCCTCACGAATTTGGCCTTCCTCTCGTAAGGCCAGACCAGCAACCATAACACCATCCAAAGCCCTGTACTCACCACTCACTGCTGAAAGTGACCACCAAGTCACTCACCCATTTTAACTGAGCATTTAAATCCCTGGCTCACTCTCCTCCCAGCCACCAGAGTCCTGCCATCCTCTTGGGGAACGGGAATGCTCATGATGATGTCTCATCCAGCGCTCCAGCACCACAGCTCAGTGACCTTCATTTCCTCTTTCTATAAGAAACATGGTTTCTGCCCTCCTCAGAGAAGGGGGGGAAATGCACAAAGTGCCTTACAGATGTTTGGTTCTAAGATAGAAAAGTGTAAAGACAGAGGACATGAAGGACGGGGCGGACAGTTCTACCGAAGAGAATCGGGGAAGTCTTCATAGGGGATTGGATATCTTTTAAAAGAAAATAGGCTTTTACCAGGCTCATGAGAAAACAAAGTGGGGGGTGGGTTCAGATGGACACTCTAGGCAGAGGGCACCATCTCAGTAAAGGCTTAAGGCATGTAACTGCCTGGTGTATTTGGCGGTGCAGGGATGGTGAAAGGCTGCAAGCAATTGAGTATGGCTGGAACATAGCATTCAAGGAGGAGCATGGCTGCACAGAACAAGGGCCAACTGGACTTATCTGGCAGGCAGCAGAGAGCCACTGAAGCAGAAGAAGGACATGGTCGATGAGTTTAGGAGTGTCTCTTTAGTAGCAGAATGACGGATGGATCCAAAACAGGTGAGAGGAGAGGCAGGGAGACCAATTAGGAGGCTCCTGCAGTGTCCGGGCAAGAGAGGACGGTCTGCACTAGGGAGCAGGGTAGAATGGCGAGGCCAGATACCAGGAGTGACCACACGGTTGGCAGGGCTTGGTGACTGAATAGACATAGGAAGATGGTGAGCGAGGGAACTCAGATTGCTGACTTAATGACCTGGTGATGTCATTCGCTGAGATTGGGAACACCAGAGGAGGATCAGGTTTAAGAAAAATGATGAGCCCTGTTCTGAACAGGGTGAATTGGAGGTGCATCCCATGGAACCTGTAGATGGACACAGGTCTAGTGGGCAGTGGGGTAGATGGGTCAGGTGCCCAGGGAAAAAGGCTAAGTGGGAGCTCAAGATTTGGGAGCCATCAGCATGTATGGGAGTAGATGAGATCACCTGGGAGGGAAAAGGGTGGAGTGAGAGGGAAAGGACACAGGTGAGTCACACCTATAGCTGAGGACCAGCAGAGGGGCTGGGCAAGCAGACAGACCCAACAGTCTATGTAACCAAGGGTGGATTCTCAGGTCAAACACAGACACACACTTAAGTTGCACATTTCAGATCTACTGCACTTTAGTCAACCTTATTAGAATTAGGCTACGGGAGAATCCAGCACATCCATATACTCCCAATTCTCTGTCCAAATTTTCTTTCTCCATGCCTGTATTGACATCCCTGGATCACAGAATCTCAAGTTAAAAATTACTTAAAGATCATCCAGCCAAACCCCCTAACCAAACCAGCTTACACATTCCCCTCAAAACATGCCTTGTGCCTGCCCATCTCTGCTTCTGAAGTGTTTTCACACCCACCCTCTTCCCCTAGGCCCAGCTCCAAACCCACAGTCATTCTTCTCTGCTCCCCATGCCTTTAGTCATTTTGCTCAGTAGGCTAGTATCCACGTAGTAGTCAGCATATCCTGCTTTATAGTGTCATTTTTCCCATTTTATGTTTGTGTCCTGTATCTGATTATACTATAATACTAAGAATACTGGCTACCGTTTATTGAGCACTTAACATGTGTCAGTCTCCTCGATAAGTGTTTTTTGTTCATTACCTGATTTGGCTGTCACATTAACCCATTGAATAGGTACTATTATTACTGCCAGTTTACCAAAGAGAAAATTGATGCACAGAAAGGTTGTGTAACTTACCAAAAACCCAGAGCTGAGGATTGTGGCCCAGCTGAGATGTACCCTAGACCAGAGGTCCCCAACCCCTGGGCTTCAGACTGGGTCCGTGGCCTGTTAGGAACTGGGCCACACAGCAGGAGGTGAGCCGGAGGGGAGCAAGCAGGTGAAGCTTCATCTGTATTTGCAGCCGCTCCCCAACGCTAGCATCACCACCTCAGCTCCACCTCAGATCGTCAGGAATTAGATTCTCATAGGAGCGCTTGTCTTTGGTCCCAGAAAGGTTGGGGACCGCTGCCCTAGACAGTCTACCAAACATCAGCATGCCAAACTGGCAGTTTGCAAATTCTTACCACTTTGCATTTTTACTGCCTGGCGCACAACAGATGCTTATTCTTAATGCTATTACAAACATAATCTTGTAGAATTTTAGAGTTTGAAGGGACTTTCAACCTTATCTCATTTGACAAATGAGGAAGCTAATATCCAACAAAACTGATTAACTGCTACACTTTTTATGGGATTTAATCTGACCAAGACCTCAATATAGAGTGCACAAACCCGGGAGTAGAAATAAGCATATATGGTATTTTCCAGTCACATAAAAGACCTTCAAACTCTAACGCCAGCTGGATTCACTTGCTCCAGCCCCTTCTCACCAGTCCAGCACATGGCTCGGAGTTTGGGCTCCAGAATCAGAAACACAGGGATTGGTTTGAATCTTCACCTCTGCCTCTTATGAGTTGTCTTAACGTCTGAGCTGCCAGTTCCTCATATGCAAAACAGAGATGATGAGGTTCTTATGGCTTAAGCCTTGCAGCTGGACAGAAAGTCAGCAAGAACCAAGGAATTGGTGTGGGATTTGGAGTTGGCCTTGTTTTTGAATCCTGGTCCTGCCTCATATTGTTCTCTTTGGGCGAGTCGCTTCACTCAGTGACCCTTGGCTTTCTCGTCTTTAAAATGGTAATACAGCTCAACTCACCTGGAAGATTTGCTGTGAGGCTCAAAAGTTCCGCTTGTAAAAACACTAACTCTACAGGTGTTAGCTACGGTGAGTTTTTCTCTTATTGTCTAAAACTCACTAGGTAAAGTTCCAAACCCATTACACACTTTCCATCCTCACAATGCTTATGTCTGTGAAAGTATACCAAGAAAAATTAACAATAAATGTATTTTTTTTTTCCAGGTGTCCATATTTCTAAAGGACAGAGTTCAGAATTCTAATGGTCGCTTTGTGTTGCCAGTGTCCGGGCCTGTTCCCTGGGGAACTGAAGTCCCTGGACTTATCAGGTGAATTCTCAACAATAATTGTCAAACCAGTGTTTGGGGTGCCGGGAAACCAATATGTGGGCCACCACAGAGACTGCAGCATGCTGGGCCCCTCCCTTTCTTCAGTAAAGCACAGCAGTTAGGAGGTCAGGTTCTAATCTCCGCTCTGCCACTTAGCAGACACTTGGCGGCAAAGCACTCAGTTCTCCAGGGTTCATTTCCTCATCTATTACGTGGTCACTGTGAGGATAAATAAGATAATAATGCTCTAAAGTGCTGACACAGCATCGGGCACATAACGTGTACTCAGTAAATATTATCATTATATCATCATTACTACCACAGCCAGCATCTTTATCTTCCAGAAGCGCATGAATTCCTTTTTGTCCCGTAGTACAAGGAACAAAGACGCCCCCAGGACGACACAGGCTTGGAGAGCATTCCATCGCGTTATATTTTGTGTTCTAGAATGTTCAACGACAAAGGCGAAGCAGTGAAGAAGGCAGAATTTCAGCACGGCGGGAACTATGTCCCTGCGCCCAAGGAAGGTTCTTTTGAATTTTACGGAGACCGAGTCCTAAAACTGGGAACAAATATGTAAGCAAATTCCCCCTCCCTGAATGAATTCCAGTCCAAGGGAGGTCACTTCATTTAGAAATTCAGCTCGACTTCTGCTGTGACAACCCCTGTGACAAGTAGAGTGATTTCCCCTCAGATAAAATGCATGAAGAGATCTGCTGTTTTCAAAGGGCACCTAAGATTTCCAAATATAAAATCATTCAACATGTTTTTTTAAAAAAAAAAAAAAGTAGTTTGAAGTGGCCATGCAGATCCAGAAAGGCTTGCTATGCGTTGCTCACATTTTTTCAGCAATACACATTACTCCGCGAGAGGAGGCACTTCCACACAGCTTCCCAAGTAATTTTCTTTGTGAAGAAGTGAAATGTGAGTGATTGACAGTCGCATTCTGTACTCCCAGCATCTTTCTGGATGCTTTTAAACATCTCAAAATAAAAGCCGTGAGCTATAGTTATGGGTTAGAAGGAAGTCAGCATAAAGGGCTGGACAGTGCTTTCATGGTTTTCTCCTGACACCAGGTACAGTGTGAACCGGCCTGTGGAAACCCATATGTCGGGAGCATCAAAGAACTTAGCTTCACAGACACAGGTGAGCTTCTGCCTCCCTTATTTATCTTCTGAGCTTATTGCTAGATACAAAAATCTGCATCTAGAAATCTGTATCTGAGAAGGGTGGGAACTCTAGATTTCAAAGCTAGCCAGCGATTCTCTCATTGTTTGCAATCTTCTCAGTTCAGCCTTATAAGTACAAAGGCTTTTAATTGTAGTTTCTCATGGAGTCTTCCAGTGATCTGACTAATTAGGTAATTTTAGGCTTGGCTCAAGCACCATAATTAAGTGGGAACCACACACCAGGACATGTGAAATTAGCATTGTACCAGTGCCATTAGGTCCATGGTGCTGAGTCCAGCACCTGTGTGTATTCTGATCATTAAAACATCCCTTTTCAGTGCTTCCCTTTATAATGATGCAGTGGCTGAAGTTCAAAATGGGGTTTTAGGTTCCCTGAATTCCATCTTTACAAATTTTCACTGAACTAGCTACCAGCTAGCTATAGGACAACTCGTGGAACATGCGGTTATTCAGCAGACATTTGTCAAACTACTTCTATGGGCTGGGTACCGAGGGACGCAGAGCTGGCTTAGACGTGGTCCCAAGTGCTCTGGGAAAGACAGTGATGGAAATGAATAATCATCACAATGGAAAAAGAGCCCACTGGGTATCCCGAACAAAGTGCTGCACCCAAGAACATATGTTCTGTCCCATGGGGTGGGGACAGGGGACAGGGAACAGGAAGGCTTTTCAAAGGAGGTGACATTCAAGTGGATTAAGATGCTAAACAGCCGAAAAGGAGAAATGGACGCACAGGCTGAGGTGACAGATTAAGCAAAGGCACCAAGGGGCAGAGGATCTTAATGTTAGGGGGAAGCAGGGAGGCAGCGTCTCTCCCACATGACTAGATAGATCACGGCCTAATCGAGGCAGGTGGCTAGAGGTTCGACTGTACAGGAACGTAGGGGCCTGATGAGGAAGGGGCTTAAACAATCTGGACTTTGTCTTTTAGGCAGGAGGTGCAGGGGTTTGTTTCAAGCAAGGGAGAAGTGAGATGAGAACTATGTTTTAGATACCTCTGGTGGCAGAGTGATGGAAGAGGCAGAGCAGGGGAAAGCTGGATTAGAGAAAGTCATAGTTGAAGTAGGGGAGAAGGTTGAACTGGGCAAGACAGTGAGAGGAGGGGAAGGATTCAAGGGTGTGTTCATGATGGCCACCACCTGGGGGCAGTGTGGTAGCTCGGATGGAATGAGTGCCCTTGGACTTGGAGCCTTTACTGAGGCTACTTGTAAATGCTGAGGGAACTAGACTGAAGAGGAAGCATGTTCTTCTCCTTCAAAGAGGAAGGTAGTTTGAGGACAAAGGGATCCCTGGGGCCTTCCACTCATCTTGAAAGTGTAAAAACCTCTGGTTTGCTGCCTCTGCTTCTGACGCAGATTGTTTCTCTTTTAGTTAAGCCTGTTTTTCTATGCTTTCTTTGGACCCAGTTCTTCCCAGAAATAATTTAGAGTTATTGTTTTGCCTCCTTTTATAATACCACCCTGGGTCTCTGGGTCTTAGCAGGAAATATGATTGCCTTCACATGGCTAAAAATCATGAAATTGTTTCTGCAGCAAAGCATTGCTCCAAACCCTCTTGCTAAAGAAGAGCTGAATTTCTTGGCCAGGCTGATGGGAGGAATGGAGATTAAGAAACCCAGCGGCCCTGAACCAGGATTCCGATTAAATCTCTTTACCACCGACGAAGAGGAGGAGTATGTTTTAAACCTGTTTCTATAAAAACATAAAAATCCTAAGTGTGTAAACTAAAAAAGTGACCATTATAAATGAGTGACACTCATAAATACAGATATAAAGATCGCAAATGACACATCAGCGAATTCAATAACCTACTCAAAGAAGAATTCATCTGTATTAAATAGCCTGAACCTTCTGGATTTATTACAGCATAGCCGAACAAGACCTATTGCAAGTCAAGATAATCAGATTAAGAAAAATCTGTTAAGAAAACCAGAGGGAGGTCGGAGCATGATGTCTTTGAGATTAGACAGCCTCCCCCAAAACTAATAGCAGTAGTAATTCACTTAGATTTATACAGTGCTTTACAGTTTACAGAGCACTTTTACATTCATTATCTCATGTGATCCTCCTCACAACCATTTGGGGTGGAGGTTGCCTTCTATTTCCGTACCCATTGAACTAACTTCTTTGTGCACTTCTGTGTGGCAGGTACTGTGGTAAGTTCTGGGACACAAACATGGCGTGTATGACCTAGAGTCTGTCTTCAGGGACTCCCCACATACTAGGAGAATGAACATGCACACACGTTATTTCAGTGCCATGTCATAAATGCTCTAATGGAGGACTCAGTGATCACTTTGTACCAGCAGATTGAAGGAGTTAGCGTCTGAGCTGGTCTTGGAGTTTGCCAAGCAAAGGAAGGGGAAACATTCTTGGCAGAGTTTAGTATGTATAACAGCACAGAGATATAACAGGACTTGACTTTCTGGAGTGTGGGGTGCATTGGTAGGGGGTGGGGTAGAAAATGGAAGGGAAATGGCAGAAGATGAGGCAGAAAAAAAATAGGTTGCCAGATTATCAAGAGCCAGCTTGCCACGCTGGAGAGAACCCTAACCTTCGACCCATTTTTTTTTTTTTTTTCCATCTCATGCAGACAGGCAGCACTAACCAGGCCGGAAGAGTTATCCTATGAAGTTGTCAACATACAAGCTACTCAGGTGTGTGCAGGGGATTCCACAAGTCAAATCTTATTCCCCTTCTCATCTTGTAATAACCTGGAACTTCAAAAGCCCTCCATTCTTCTCTCCAGTCAGCATGTAACTGTAGTCCCTATTCTGACAAACAGGTAAGGAACTGAAATGCATCACAGCGGTGGGACGAAAATTAAATACCAACTGCACCTCTCATTTTTCTAACAGGACCAGCAAAGGAACAAAGAGCTGGCTCGGATCATGGGGGAGTTTGAGATCACAGACCAGCCAAGGTGGAACGCCAGCAAGGGGGATGATTTGTTGGCCATGATGGATGAGTTATAGCTGTGCTGGCCAGGCACACCCCTCCTGCTACAGGAGAGGTTGCCTGATGATGACCCCGGGGAATGCACCAGGGAGTAAAAAGATGCTGCTAGTTTTCTATTAAGTGAAGCCATTACCTCTTGTTCCTATTCATGTTGTAATGAACTGTGTAAGTCTCTCTCAGGGAGCACACTCTCTGGAAGGCACACACATACCCATATTTTCAGCAAAATATACTGTAGCTTTTAAATTGGACTTTCCCATTCTCCTTCTGGTTTTACGACAACCATCCAAAGCATCCTGGGCCATAGGTTCAAGCCCCAGAGTCAGTAAGGGGGCGCTGTCATGGCCACTTTCAATGACAGCTTTCCTGTGAGGACTTAGAACACACAGATGTCTGTAAATCATCACGAAACTTCAGAGCTTTCTGGGATGTATTCTGCCATGTAAGTGAATTTGAAATAAGTAGAAAAGGCAGTTGCCTCAAATAGTTGGGGGAACTATTTAGACAGCCTTCCTCTCCCTGGCACACTGGGAACTATAACCTCAGAGGCAGAGGAAGTAAGGCTGTGACAGGAACCCCCATCTGGGTCTCATACAGAGCATGTGAGTATCTGGAGTTCTCCACATCTCTATACCCACATGTGGTGTGGGCTTATCCCATATGGAGATGTGTACCGAAGAAATAGTTTGCTTTTCAGCATGATATGTACTCCTCACCCCCAAAGTCTTCCTCTGCCACTTAGTGTTCTTGCCTTCTAAATACACCCAGCACAATGTGCCAGAACATCTGTCTCCTCTGCTTCACCATCAGCGGCCAAGCAGAACTTTAAGTTGGATAGATGGAAGGCACACATGAAGTGTCATTTTCCCTTCCCTGAACCAGATGAGCTACTTCCCTGGGCACGATGCAAGTCTAATTGGGATCCATGTAAAATATCTCAGACCAGGGCTGCCCTAATTGTGTCAGGAAGGCTTGTCAGCCTGGGACTGAGTAACTGGCAGGCTTGGCGCCAGCCAGCAGCCACAGGTCAAGGTCCATTCAGTCCTATGGAAGGAATATCCAGAACGGCAGAGGGTAAGAGCTAAGCTGGTCTTTGCCTGAGATCTGATCAACCACAGGGACCACTCAGGCCCCACACACCCTGGCAAGAGTGGAGGCAAACATAGTTCTGAATGTGAGGGCCAGGAAAGCTGTCCATTAGCTTGCCAGGGCATAGGGTTGCAGAAAGGTAAATCACCAAATTTAAGTTACTTCCTGCCCATGAAATATATACTTCCTTACCTACAAAGACGTCCATTAAGGAGGAGAGACATATCTTGCTGTAAGACACCTGTTACAGACTTGCAAAGTGCCTTCTGTTTTAATCTCTTTTAATTAATCTGGCCACCAGTTGTAGTGGCCTGACTGGGCAACAGATGAAGGGGAAGGTTCTCACCTGTTCTGAGCCTGGCTTCCGTAGCACTGCCACAAACCTGAACTTCACTGTCTGCTCATGTGCTGGAGCCTTGGAGGTGGGCCATGAGCTGCCAAGAAGCAGCAGCTCCTCCCTCCGCCTACCCCAGAGCGATGCTGAGGATTTCAAATGTATCTGTCCTCTCAGTAAATAAACAAGATACAGATCTCTGGTAAGGCAGCCTTGTGATGAGGCAATCTTTTGAGTTTCATGTCTCTAGACTTGCACAAATATTGAGAAAAACGAGTTTATTTGCATGGTGGTTCATAGCATCCAGAGAGAGCAGGGGAACTGGGAGGAGGCAAAGAAAGAAGAAGATAGGGAGTACTCTGGCAAGTGTGAGGACTGAGTACTAACCACACAGGAGCGTTCACTTCAAACCAGGCCGCGGGGTAGGAGAGCGTCACACAACAGTGCCCCGTGAGCTCCAAGGGGAGGCCATGCCACAGCCAGAGTCAGGACGCAGGGTTCTGGTCCCACCCCTGCCTCAAATTCACCATGGTGTCTTGGGCACTTACCTTCACCACGCCTCAATTCCCTCATCGGTAAGAAAGAGAACTAGTTCACTGGCCCAGAGCCGGCTTTGCCCACGTAAGCTGTTGAGTTTACAGCTTCCTGGGCCCTACCCCAGGTGGGATCTGAGAATTGGAATTTTCGTCCGTGCTGACCCCGACTCCATGCGTTGGGGGTACATCTGCTCTCTTTCAGCTCTTATGCGACTAATCTCAACTAACTGCCGCACTCTTGTTCTTACCAGTGTTGGAATGCCCTCCAGATTATGCAAGGCAAAGCTCTAGAAGCCATCGAAACCAAAGTACTTTAAGGGCTCCCAGAAGAAAGATAAAATAAAAATTGAGAGTGAGGAGGGAAGGAAAGAAGGGGGAAAGTCATCCCACATAGGTCACATAAGTATGTAACAATTTTTGAAGGTAAACTCACTTTTTTTCTTAGATCCAGATCCTGGTAGGCAAGAAACAGACTTCAGCACGGTAACCAGATTCTGGAGATTCCCCAAATCCAAACAGGATCCCGTTCCCTCATCCACTCCATCTATACTGTCACTCTGGTTTGCATCCAGTAAAGAGACCAACTCGAGCCACAGGAAACCGCAGAAAAAGAAATACAAATTTTAGAAAATATATTTATCACAATACTTAATTATAAAGACCTAAATTAAAATCTGAAAACTAATACAACCTTCGCCTACCCCTTACTGCCTTTAAGTACTGCCCTGGATAACTCTCTTTGGCTGCTAAATTCCTGGACAGCTGACCATAGAGGGAGTTAAAGGAAGTGTTCACAGGGATTGGGCCAGGGAACAGCTCCTTCACAACTGGCGTAAATTCTCAGATCATAACTCACCTGTCTTCAAATGAGAATGTCTAGATGCATTCCGAGGGCTAATGGAAATTAATTGTGGGTTATTTGATTACCTTAACACCTCTCCCTACTCTCTGTCTCTCCCCCTCCTTCTCTCCCTCCTCCCCTTTTTTCTTTCCCCCACCCCCACCTCCTTTCCCTCCCTCTCTCCCTCTCTCCCTCCCTCCCTCCCTCTGTGCATTCTTTTTGTTTCTGGCCAGGGGTGCTCTACTAACAAAAGTAACATTACCTTCTCTGTTCCCAAAACTACATGAACCCCCAATTGCATTAGCCTTGTGAGGCCACACTATTAACACGGCCCAAGAAGAGCTGGGGGCAGAACCCAGGACTCCTAAGTCCTGGACGTGCACATTTGCCTCCAATTACTCTGCCCTCCTTTCTCTTTATGAAATTCCCTGACTTCCTTTTGAGACACTGGGGCCAGTGTTTTTTCAGGTTTTCAAGGGGAAGTCATGGTGTTGACCAACGATATGCGACTCAGGTGCTCTGAGTATCTTAAAGGCCTCTCAGCATTGGTTACCATTGAGAATACTTGTTTTGTCTGCTGCCCCTCATCTCTCCCCTCTACCTCGGCATATCTTTTACCTATACCCTTCCTCCCCTCAATCACACCCAGCCTTCTTTCTGCACCTCAGAATTCATCCAAATGTCTGTTGCAGCTCAATGCTCCTATCCAAGCCGCCCTCACCCACCTCTTTGGCCTCTGCTTCTCCAGGGGCTCCTTCCCTCCGTCTTAATTCATCTGGCTGCTCATACATTTTTCTCCATTCTCTCACCAGCACTCCAGTCTCCCCTGCTGCCAACCCTTCCCTCCCTCCTCCACCCCTATAGTTCTTAGCACCACATACATCCCAATTCTCACGCCTCCAGGGCCTGGCTTTGCTAGGTCCAACAGCCTTTTCTCCTCCCCATTCTCTTTGGCTTTTTGAAGGCCCTTCGCCCTGCCAAATATCTTGTCCTCCTAAAACGTTCTCACCCTTGGACCCTGGTGACCCTAATCGCACTACTTTCCGACTACACTTCCCCCCAACACACACACCTCCCTTCCTCAGTGGTCAAGGTTTGCCCTGTATGATGCAGGTGGTGGTGTAGCCGTTTTTAAGACTGTCAAAATGACCAGGTCATTTGCCATATGTCCTTTATTTCATCCCTGGCTTTTTTCACTCCTCATCCTACCTCTTACTCAGACCCCCCTGCTGACCAAATGTTTTATGTGCCTCTCAGTGCTTAGTTTGCATATTTCTGCAAATTATTTGCATCATTTTTTTTTTTCGGAGAAGCTATTACTTCCAATTATTACTACGGACCCACAAATCTCTGTGTTCCCCTCTCACCTGGGCTACAGCTCACTTTCTCTGAGGTGTTCCACATCACCTCACACTTCAGTGTTGGTAACACTGAGGTTATTTTTATTTAGTACATTTACTTCACTTTCAAAAGGCATGAAGGAATTTAAATTAAATGTAATACAAAACAGGACAGTCATCCATTGAAAAGAACTGGAAGTAATGGGTAGAAGTTACCAAAACCTTTCTAATAATGGAGTCAGTCGCCTGACAAAGAAGTGAGTTGCTGGTCACCAGAGGTGGTCAGTTAGGGGAGCATCTGCAGGTGCTGTAGAGGGGATTTGGGTACTGGGTGGTAAGTTGAAGCAGGTGACCTAGGAATCACCCTGACTCTCAGGATTCTGTGATCCCCTGACAACTGAAAACAGAAGCACAACAGAGCTCATTTAAAGGGAACAGAAATTCAAGGCTGCCAAAATGAACTTAATTTGAATGGGCCTTCTACTGGTCTGGGTTGTTGGTCACAAAAAATTGAAACCAATTCTGGCTACTAAGTAGTGAAGGAATTTATTGAAAGGGGATCAGGCAGCTCAGAGTTGTTGGGAAGATTGGAAAACCATGGTCAGGAACAGGGGAGGTTAGACAGCACAGGAAAGGCTCCAGCACCAGCAGCACCTCCAGGATGAGGCGCTAGATGACGCAGAAATGAGGATGCAGCCCAAACGGTCCCTGCTGGTTTGTGTCACATACTCCAGGTTTAAAGCCTGAAAATGCCTGAATTTAGGTCATATGCCACAGCTGACAAGGATCAGAGACAATATCTGACCTTTAAATCATCTATTGTGGGAAGCACAATCCCACCTGCTACCAAAACTCATAGAATGTCAGATTTCCCCAAACATGGAGAAAGGAGTCCAGCAGCTGAGTAGCCAAAAAATGAGATGACACCCCTTCCTAGGAATGACACCCCTTCCCACCCCAACCCTCTTATTCCTTTCAATAGGCTACCATCTCTCTAGATACCCAGTTAAAATTTAAATCACTGATTCCTCCTTCTCCTACCCATACTACAGACTTAATCAGCCTCCAAGGATTCTGATTAACTGTCTTCAGGGTCTTTAACACTCATCCCATTCTTTCCATTCCCACTGCCACCATCTTCACTGAAAACCCTATCACCTTCTGTCCGCATTCGTAAAACCAGTGTTCCTCACGCAAAACTGTGGTTTATACTGTGAAGTATTCGGGCCTCCTAAGGCTTTCTCCCTGTTGCAACAGCCAGGACACTAATAGAGGAGGTAAGATTTATATAAATATGGCGAATCTGCATGCGACAAGCAAACATATAGCAAGTAATAGGGTCAGAGGAGAGACATCACTCCCAATTGAGGTAATCAGTGAAGATTTCAGAAAGGTACAGCAGTTGAGCCCAGCTTCGGAAGGAAGGGATTAGATTTAACATCCAAAGATAAACGAGCAAGGACTCAAGGCAGATGGAGCAGGATAGCAAAGGCAGAGACAAAAGTGTAGGGCTTGTCTTGGGGTTGCCGAGGGGCTGAGTCTGACTAGAGAGTAGGGCAGTGGGTCTCAGATTTTTGTGTGCATTGTTAGATGGGCAGATTTCCAGTCTTCACTTCTGCTTCTGTAGGTCTGGGGTTGAGTTTAACAAGCTTTCCAAATAACAATGAGGCAGCTGGTTCCCATACCACACCTTAAGAAACACTGATTGGAGAGTTTGGGTAGAGAACCTGAAGGAGATCCAGCTAGAAGGTAGGTTGGAATCAAATCGTGGAGAGTTGTCATTGTCAGCACTGGAACTTTTATTCTGCTGGTTAATTGAAAGTTTTCTTAGCAGATAAATGATAAAATCATACTCATGCACTTTGAATCTGTTGGCAAAGAATCATGAAAGACAAGGGCCAGTAAGATGGTTTTTATAATGGCCAAATGAGAGAAAAGGAGTCTTAACTAGGTTGGTGGCAACCAGAATAAAGAGGCAAGTAAAGGGTGGGAGACACACTTCAAAGACTCTGTAGGGCTCATTGACTATAACAGCTGTGGAGGAATCAAGAAATGATAGAAATTGTCAAGTTTATTTAAGGTGCCCAATTTGGGGAGCGAAAAATAGTGGCAGCAACCACAGAAATAGAAAAATTCAGAGCAGCAACTGATTGGAGAAGGACTTGGTGAATTTTACCTGACATTCTGAGTTTCAAGTACCAATAAGATATATGGGACTAAGTAACAGAGAGATGGAAAATGGAGCTTTGTAGAGCAGTCTTGGCCAGAGACCTAGACAAGGGACTCAGCATGTAGAAATAGATGGCATGGAGATAGATGTGACCAGTAGACAGCTGAGCTAGGAATATAGCTCCAGAGAAAGCACAGGGGGCAGGAGAATTAAGTGGGGTGGGGAGGAGAGAGAGAGCAAGAAATGGAGAAGAAACCATCAGAGAAATGGGTGAAACCAAATGATACAGTGCCTCAGCAAAGAAAAACGAGAAGGATGGGCAATATGGTCAAGCAATGGGAGGATCATGTAAATAAGCTCTAAGAAAGCAACTAGAACAAGATCATTAATAATCTTTGCCAGAGAAGTTAGTAGAATCTTGGGATTAGGAGACAGATTATAGTTAGTTGAGTGAGTAGGTGAAAGTCCTTAGACTAGAGTAGCAGTTCTCAAACTTTTTGATCTCATAATGCCTTTATAGTCTTAAAAATTATTGGAAATCTCAAAAAGCTTAATTCAGTTTAAAATAACAATAACTCATTAACATCACATATTTTATATTCAAGCTAACTATATTTTCCAAAAGAAAAAATTATGCGAGAAGCGTGACACTGTTTTATATATTTTGCAAATCTCTTTAATTGTCTGTCATAATAGAAGACAGCTAGATTCTCATATCTGCTTCTGCATTTAATCCATTCTGGTTGAAGTAGATGAAAATCTAGCCTCACACAGATGTGAGGTTGGAGAATCACTGGTATAGAGCTCTCTCTTGAGAAGTTTGACTGTGAAAGGTAGGAAAACAAAGGTACTTTGCATAGAGGAGAAAGACAGTTTTTATTTTTAGGATAAGAAGAGATCAACTGTGATCACCGGTAACAAGAGAAGTCTCCTGTGGGAGATGGAAATGAATGAGAGTGAAGGAATCAAATAGGCCTAACTCTTATTTAAGAGTTTCTCCTATGTGCCAGGTGCTGTCATACATTAATGCAAGTCATTCAAACCTTACATATTTTCTGAGACATCTTTTTTCTTCTAATGAGGAAACTGGGGCTGAGAGAAGATAGTTTTTCTAAAGCTATACAGAGTGACATTTAAAAAATGTAAATCAGATCATGCCACTCCCTTTGATAGCCTATCATTGCACTTCTAGTAACAGATGAGGAACTGAAAGGATAATTTGTCTAAAGTCATATAGTTTGCAAGGTGCACATTTGAACACAGGCACTGTCTCCAGAAACTGCACCGAGAAATTCAAACTCCTTACCTTGGCTTACAAAGTCCTAAATGCTCTGGCTCTTGCCTTCCTCTGCCACCTCTTGTAACGCTACTCTCCCCAGTCTTACTGACCTTTCCATTTTCCTAATTGCCAAGCTCATTTTCCCCAGGTCTTTTGTAAAAAACTAGTTCCTCTAATGCTCCTCTCCTAGTTTTCACAAGGTTGGCTTTATGTCATTCATCTCAGCTCAGATGTCACCTTATTAGGACATCCCTGACCATCCAATAAAAGGCCACTATCACATCACCTTATTTTAACTCTCTTAATTGTCTTGTTTACTTATTGACACCCTCCCCCCGCCCCCACCAATTAGATTTAAGAGTCGTCAGGCCAGGGAGCTTGTCTCTTTGGTCACCGCTATGTCCAGAGCCTGGGACGGCGCCTGACACCTGGTGAAGGCCCAATGAATATTCGTCGAATGAATGAATGAATGATTCCAGCGAAGGAGAGAATGCAGTGATGTAGGCCGGGAGTTGCAAGAGCTCGAGTCGCGGTGCTCGCGAGGCATTTTGGGGATTGTAGTTCTGGTTCGCCCCGCCCTCTCTATGCTCCGGAAGGACAGAGCGGTCCCGTCGCGGCTTGTCAATCCCGCCGCCGGAGGGAGGCCGCCCGGCTAGGCGCCCGCTAGCCTCTGCAGCGACGCGTACCGGAAAGAGAGAAACCAAGGCGGTAGGTCCGGGGATCCCGCAGGCGGAGCACGGGGGCGCCCGGAACTCCGAAGGACGGCAGGAGCAGCGGAAGTATTTTCTACCCGATTTGCTGAGTATAGCTCATCTACCCCAGCCCAGTCCCACGGCTCTGTGAGTAAAGGCTCGTCACCATCCCATTTTCCCGATGCGCTAACTGGCTAGAAGAAACTGAGTGGCTTGCTCGAAGTCTCCCTCCCAGGAAGTGGCAGAGCCCGTCTTAGAGCCCAGGCCTGCCTTTTTACAGTTGCTGTGCAGCCCCAAACCCCTGCTTGGGCACAAAAACCCCTGGTGAAGCCTGGTGGGGTCGTTAGAAGTTTCCAGCCTAGCTCCCAGGCAACCTCATCAGTGATGTGGGCTGGCTTGCCACGCTTAATGCCACCCTGCTCAGCCCTGTCGAGATTCTGAGTGAAGTCTTAGAGAAAGTTCCACCACCTTCCACTCAGAACCTGAAAATAGGGATAGGCAAGACAAAGTTAGACTAATAAAATCAGGGCAAAGGAAAGTACATTCAACGTGATGAGATTCTGTTAGCTTTATTTAGCCAATGATTTAATAGTTGTGGAAATAGGTACAGAGACATTAAGTTAACGTTCCTAAGTTTACAGAGTTTGTGGGTAAAGCGGAGATTCCAACCTACATTTCTCTACCTTCAAACCTTATGTGCTTTATAGGCACATATAAATGTGTATTATTTTCAATTAATTACCTAAATTTCTTCTTATATGGTGGCTACTCCGTGTAGGTAGACCAGTTGTTCTCAGTGGGCCCAGGACCAGCAACTGAGAACATGTTAGAAATGCACATTCTTGAGGCCCAGCAATGTGTTTTAAGTTCTCCAAGTGATTCTGATGCACATTAATGTTTGAAAACTCTGGTGATTCATGTTAAAATCCAGAGATTCTTCATTTCTAACAAATCCCTGAGTGATGCTAAAACTGCTGGTCCATGGAGTAGCAAGGATATAAACTACACCTTAAAGCAGTGGTTCTCAAAGTTGGGTGCACATTAGAATTACCTGGGGAGCTTTTGAAAAAGAAGGTACCTGGGCCCCATCCCCGACCAAATGAAACGGAACCTCTGGGGTGTGATGGCCAGATAAAAACCCACCTAGGTGATTCTAACATACAATGAGGATTCGAGAACCCCTGGTGTGGAGTTTGGAGTAGGGCAGCCATGGATATGAATCCCAGCACCTCCACTTGTCAACTGTGTGACCTCGGGCAAGTGACTTAACCTCTCCTGGCTTGGCTATATTTTCTTCACTTATAAAATGAGTATAAGTAATCCTTGGCTTGCAAAATGCTGTAAGGATTTTATGAGGTGTGTACATGAAGCACCTGGCTCCTAAGAGTGCACCACAGACTTAGAAATTGGGGAGATGGGCAGACTTGGAGAAGTCTGTGCTGGGGATTTTGTGTTAGAACGTGGTAGAGGTGAGTTGGCAACTGTACCCCCTAGCCTGCTACAGCTCCCATCTGTGTGCTTCTCCCGCAGGCAGCCAGCAGTGTGGAAAATGGCGGTGAGCCACTCAATGAAGGAGCGGACCATCTCTGAGAACAGCCTGATCATCCTGCTACAAGGCCTCCAGGGCCAGGTAACCACTGTGGACCTGCGGGATGAGAGCGTGGCCCATGGACGCATAGACAACGTCGATGCTTTCATGAACATCCGCTTGGCCAAGGTCACCTACACGGACCGTTGGGGACATCAGGCAGAGCTAGATGACCTCTTTGTAACAGGCCGTAACGTCCGTTACGTCCACATCCCAGATGACGTGAACATCACCAAGACCATTGAGCAGCAGCTGCAGGTCATCCATCGGGTGCGCAACTTTGGCAGCAAGGGGCAAGGCCGGCGGGAGTTTCCTACCAAAAAGTACAAATGAGCCTGTTCCTTCAGCAAGCCCTGGTCCCCACTCAGGTTCCTTCAAAGTTCTACTGAGCCAACTGCCTGCTATCCTTCCCTGCCCAGAACCTGGGAAGGGAGCAGGGCCAGGTGTGTGTCTGACAGACAACACCTGTCACAATTGCCTTTCACAGAGTTCCACCTCCCAGACTCACCCTGGGCCCAGAATCCTCTTAATCTGTGGCCTGGGTATAGCTGACAATACCCCCTTTTGATCATTTGCATCTGAATCTCTGATTTACTAATTTAGGGAATCTGTCAAATCGTTTTCAACCCTTTCCCATGTGAGGATTATTAAATGTGCAGGGCCTCAGCCATCCCTCAGTGTCCCCATTTCTCTTACAATTGTGTGTTTGTTTTCTCACAAAACTAAACTTGGTTACACACAATTCCATGCCTCATGCTTTCCATCCTGTGTCTAGGGTGCCAGGTCTCAGACTTGCTTGCACATTGGAATCACCTGTCCCATCCTCATCTGTTTGGATTTAATTGGCATGAGGTTGGCCTGGGCATTTATTTTTCTAAGTTTTCCACATGATACTAATACACAGAAAAGTTTAAGAAGTGTAGGAGGAGAGCCCTTCGGTCTGGTCAGGTAGAAAGTGGCTTTTCTGTTCAGATTTCCTGTTGAGGAGGCTGTTAGTCCAGTTGCTTTTCCTGAGGTGGAGAGGTTGCAGTAATCCTGGGTCCTCCCCTCAAGTGTGGGAAATCCTCCAATAGCAGGAAAATCAGGCTTCAATTCTGAGAGCCATTGGGTCCTCAGGGAAGAAGGGATTCTGGGGATTAGAACCCAAGTCCTGTTGTTGCTGCCTTACAGCCACACCAGCCTGCCACAGGCAAATTACCATCTCAGTAAAAGCAGCCCTGTCCTCTGGAACCAGAGGGTTGGCCTTCATCAAACAAACATCCACAGAGCAGCTGCTTTGTGCCAGGCCTTCTACTGCAGAGGTCCCCAAACATTTTGGCACCAGGGACCAGTGCTCCTATGAGAATCTAATGCTTGATGATCTGAGGTGGAGCTGAGGTGATGATGCTAACGCTGGGGAGCAGCTGCAAATACAGATGAGGCATCATTCACTTTCCACTACTCACCTCCTGCTGTGCAGCCCATTTCCTAATAGGCCATGGACCAGTATGGTCTGTAGCCCAGGGGTTGGGGACCCCTGTTCTACTGGGCACACACTGACAAGATTTAGTCCCTTCTGTAAAGGAGCTTATAATCTAGTGGAAGAGGGTCAAATATCAAAAAAATGAAACCCAGCCTGAGAACTACTGCGCCAGAGTTGTGAATAAGGCAAGGGCCCTTCACCTTAAGATGCTGCCATTTCTTGAGAGAGATTTGAGAGGAGTGTTCATTTGGACACTAGCAGCCCAAGGTCATCGCGTTCACATTCCAGCATAGTCTTTGTTGAAGTCTTGTCCTTGGACCACCTCCTCAGAACCAAATGGGATGTGTCTAGAAGTGCCACTTTCCTGGTTCCCCCTTTACCCAGACTTGAATCAGAATTGAGCATGGGACTGCATTATTAATTTAAATTTAAACTGAGAAGGAGCCTGCCATTTAAAGAACCAGGTACCCACTTGCCATGAGGCTCCTGATGCTGTATTTATTTCATCATGGCCCAGAGGTCTCAGAAGCTGCTTTAGACTCTACTTTGCCTTCAGGAGAGAACAGTGGGTCCCAGCAGGGAGAAAAACACTCCTCCAAGCTTCCAGGCCCCTCCGACAGCTAGAGTTAAGGGAAACAACGCCACAAGGTGACTGCTGATGAGAGAAAACAGGATGCACAGAAGGGAAGTCCTCACTAGAAATGTCCACGCCGCAAGTGGGGAGAGAGCCACCCTGTCCCCACAGCAGCCTCCCCCGCATACACCTCCCACGTGTCTGCAGATGCTTCCAGCTTCTAGGGGGCTTATGCTGGGGATTTGGCCTAGGGGCGAAGGAGAGTTCTAGCTCTGAGGCTTTTAAATGGTGTGCCAGGAGCTTCTACATCCTCAGCAGAGCAAAGAGAGCCCCCAGGCCAGGGAGGGAAGCAGAAGGGCTAACTCAGATTGCTCATGAGAGGCTCAAGACGTATTCCGTAAGGAATATGCCAGGCCCCAAGTGGGGAGGCTTTCATTCCTAGGCAAGGTACTGGGAGGATAGAAGGGAAGGGGAGGAACTAGGCCACTGGTTAGAACACAGTGGGTAGAGCACAATGACTGGGTAGACCACAGCTAAGTCTTCAAACCCCAAGATTACAGGTCTTTTGGCATCTGGTCCTGGATTACCGGGAAAGGTGCCCGGGCAGAGGATGAGGGAGCTCAGTGCCCTCCAGCCTATTTATTGCAAGCTAGAAGTCCCCTAATGCTTGATGAAGCCACCGGTCATTCATTCCACAAGTAATTCTAGTTCCAGTGCTAGCTCCTGAAGGAACATAAAGGAACAAGGGTCCCGCCCTCAGGGAGTGGACATTCTAGAGGAGGAGACTGAAAATATACAAAATAACAAAATATTTATAGACATCATGAAGAAAATAAACAAGACACTGAGAGAAAAGAGAGGTGGTTTTGTTTTGGAAAATGTAGTCTGAAGGAGTGAAATTTATACTGAGAAGGAGCCTGTGATTTAAAGAGCGAAAGGAAGGCAGAGGAAACTGCCAGTACGGAGGTCCTGAGGTAGGGAAGCTTGGAGGTTTGAGGCAATAACAACAGGACCATAGTGACTATTGAGACAGGGGAAATGGGAGAGGAATGGGGCAAATGGTACAAATATCTTATGGGTAAGGAGTGGAGCTAGTTCCAATTTCTGGTGTGTAAGAAATATAACTTGAATTTTCTCTAACTCACCTGAATTTGTATTTCACCTCACTCAGACAGTATCAGAAACTTAACTGCAGTCAGTTCAAAGTTACCCCCATTTCCTTGGAATTGGCTGAATTCTAGGGCACTTCCTTTCAAGGTGCCAAAGCGTGGAAAGGGTAGTCCGATCTGGTGGTCATTCAGTCCACTCTCATCCACTGAGATGTCTTCGTTTTGTTCGGGCCGTTTGTCATCTATCTGCTCTGGCCATATAGATCCATGAGGCTTTTGTTCTCTTATTTTGTCATCGGCCCACTCAGGTTGCTGCTGAGTTGCCCTTCTCTGACCAGAAGACCTCCTGACCTCTCCCTCAAGTGTAGCCCAAACCCTTCTCAGCGTTCAGGTTTTTGCTCTACTTTTCCCAGGCCAGTCAGGCACAAATTACTAGGGTCTTGGGTTAGTTAGCTCAAATGCAGCACACGGCTGCTTCTTCAGGGGATTTTGTTACTTCTTGATGCCGCCCCCGCCAGCTCTGCCCCAAGAAAAGGAAGCACCACTCTTTCTGCTTTCCATCTCTGAGACCCAGATGATACCCTCCAGCTACCAGTCTGAGAAGAAGCTTCTCTATTCTCAGGGATCACCCTCCCAAGTCAGTCTACCGGATCCCCCTGTTACACAGATTTCTAAATTTGTATCTGCTCAGAAATTCTTTCCATTCCTCCCTGAAGGCTAGGCCTTTGGAATTCAGAAGCTAAAGATGAACTCTGCATTCTGTTGTATCATTTGTTTCCTGACATAAGGAATGCAGAGTAACCCAACTATCTGCATAAAGGAAAGAGCGAGGGACACCAAGGAAGAGATAAACATATTTCAAATGTCATTACCCCATTGGAGTTTAGGTTTTGTGCTACTCGTGTTGTGGCCTTCATTCAAACCCACACATACACCAGTATGGGAGTCCTAGTTGATGACTGAGCTCTCAGGAGTTCTGAGAGCTCCAGTGGTATGGCATATCTCCTCCCTCCCCTCCTGCTACTGGAGAGAAGAGTACAGGAGTCCCTCTCTCATTGCCAGGAGGGGACTACCAGGGCTCTAAGGAGAGCTGGGTGGGCATGCAGCTTGAAGTTCAGATCTCCCTGGGGTCATACAAGTGCTACAGTATCTCCAGCTCTCAGCCGCATAGGACTTGAAGGGACTTGAAGGAGAACATCCGGTTCAGTGAGTTTCAGTGAGTATCGAGTATCCACCCCTGGCTGAAAGATCCCTGAAGGCAGCAGGGGTCCCTTGAGTTCTTGTCAGTGTTCCAGAAGGACCCAAAGAAACATAATACCTGAAGGGTAACCAAGCTGGCTTGATCTCTGCTCTGGGCTGGAATTATACCAACAGTCTGGTGGTCATACTGGCTTGCTCTGCCTGACCATAGCTCTAATGGCTATGATACAAAGCTGTAATCGATAAAAAGGGAGAAATGACTTGATGCAGGTTGTACAGGAGACGAAATGTTACCAAATGTGAGGCTTATGTGGAGGGAAAATACTAAAAGAAGCTTTGAAGGTGAGAAGGTTGGGAACCACTGAGCCAGTCCAACTGTCATATTACAGTTGCAGAAACAAGCCGTTTCCTCAAGGGGTTGAGGAAGAGGCTCTCCTCAGGTCTCATGATTAAGTTAATGGCAGAATGCCAAGGTGGTCATCATAAGGAGCTACTGCTTGTTGAGTCTCACCGAGTGCTCTGGCAGAGGATCGGCAGCATCCAGCGCAGAGCCCTGCACATAGCAGGCACTCCATAAATCTTTGTGGAATGAAAGAATCATCTCACTTCATCATTACGACAACCCTAGAGATTTATATTAATAATCCCACTGTACAGTTGAGCAAACAGACCCAGAGAGGTTAAGTGACTTGCTGAAGCTTGAAGAGCCAGTGAACAGCAGATTGAGGATTTGAACTTAGGTCTGTATGACTCAAACTCCATGATACTGCACTATACTATTCTGCTTCCCAGTATCCCTGACATCACACTGATGACAGAGTAAGATGAGTTGTGCCCTGCTCATCTAGTGGTGGTACCCGGCCGCCGGGCATGGGCCTGGCACTCAAAATTTGCCATACCCAGGCCTTGGGCTTGGCCACAAAGAGAAGTCACAAGTTAGCTAATCCAGTAAGAAGGATTTGCTAAGTTTCAGAAGCCTAAGGAAGCTCTTTAGGATTGAAGATCTCCTCCTCTCCTTCTGTGATAGGCAGACCTGCTTATACCTTGTCAAGCAACCATCTCATGTCGTTGTGACAGGCGTCACTTTGTTATGGCAGCACGGTCTGCCAGTATACCCAGAGTTGGAGAGCCAGAGCCAGCAGGAGAGTATGTCACAGTGTGTGTGTGTGTGTGTGTGTGTGTGTGTGTGTGTGTGTGTGTGTGTGTGTGTGTGTGTGTGTGACAAAGCAGTCTCAAGTTGGTGTCCTGATGACAGTTTTACGTTTTCTCTGGCTGGCACCTTTAGTTTCTATTCATTATCTATTCTTCTCCCCTTTTTCTCTTCCTCCTCCTCTTCTTGTTAAAATCCTATATTTTGAATCAGCTGAGAGTCTCCTGGGGTTGGGGATGGTGGTGTCAGCTCCTAGTGATTCATCTAGCTGATAATTTAGAGCTCTGGAAAACCCAAAACTCATTCCTGTCAGAGTCAGGGCTTCCGGCATCCCTAGGCTTTTCCCTTTGTCAGAGAGGAGAGCTTGGGAGGCAGGAGCCTGGCTTCTCTGTGCCTGACTTTCTGTCATCCACTTCATCAAAGCTCCTTAACTGAGGTGAGTATGAGCACTCTTACTTGCAGGGCCTGTGAGAAGCTTTTTCTACACTCACTGAATCCTCACCATGATCTCACGAAGTGTTATCCCTATTTTGACAGCCAGGGAAGGTTCAGGAACTTACATTAGTCAATCAGCTTGTAAGAAACGCAGTAAGGAATCAAATCCAACCTTTTTGGAATCTGTCAGAGTTGTTTCAGATGACAGCCCTGCCATTATAAGCTGTGTGTCTTTGGATAGGTTACTTCCCCCTTCTTCATCTGTAAACAGACTCCTAACTTGATGTCTCTAAAATCCTTAACACAGTGTGTGACACAACAGTGGGAGCTGTTTTGATTACTGTTGTTATTCAGCCCTATCAGCTCACTGAGCACCAGGCATTCAGAGAGACAAAGAGATGGACACCGGAGGAGGCATCCGGACTCACTCACACCAACTCTCATGTCCTGGCACCGCCTGTGTGGAAATGACAAATGTGCATACAGGTAAGTGCTTGGCCACACACCCTAGAAAAACTCAGTGGTGCGCCAGGCTTTGGACACGTGTGCCCACACATGGATGCAGAATGACCCAGAAGACAGCTGGAAGGACAGCTGGGAGTCTGTCATATGCAGCAAGCATCCTAGCTCACAACCGAGACAAAGGAGTGGGGACATGGTCGCTGGTGCTGCTGCTACTGAGCCCTTATAGCTGCTTCTGCATGCCAAGGGAGGGAAGCCAGGCCCAGAGGGCCCCAGTGAGTCACCAGCCTGATGCAATCCCTTTAAAGGGCTCATCTGGTGCAAGAAGCTGATTCATGGAGGGCGTGGTTGCTGGAGGAGGAGGAGAAAGGGACCGAAACTGCAACTGGAGGGGCTGAGGTTAGGTGGCTGGAATTGTTAATAGGAACTCTTCACTGTAAATCTCCCTAGTCAAGACTCTTTAACCAGAATCTTCAGGTTGAAGCGGGGTTTCTACAAAGGCGAGGGGCCCAGAGGGAAATGAATTGTGAGCGCTGCTACAGGAATTCTTGTCATTGAGTCTAACTGCCGCGCTCTCCGCACAGAACTCCAGAAACCGAGAAATGGAGATGGAGGAAGAGCCATTTTTCTGATATATACACTACAACTAGCCGATCTTCCAACCGCTAGAGACTTCTCCAAACCCAGTAGGGCGAGTGTAGGGCACGCGAGGTGCGGTGGAGTTGGGGCGGGGGCGGTGCCTCGGACCCGGCCTCTCCGCAGACATAGATAAGCGGTAAGCACCGCCCCTTTAGAGTCTCAGCCTCCAATCGTTTCACAAGCCTCAGCCCTGACCCACCACCTTGAACCAATCCGCAATCTGAATCTGGCCTCTCGCCTGAATGCTCCCGCCCATCGTCAAGATACTGCCCAATCCCAATGCCGTGGGACCGTATTCACGGGAGAGGGGCGGGGCTCGGGGGAGAGGGGCGGGGCTAAGGCTCCGGCGGGGAGGAGGGGGAGGTGCGTCACTTCCGTTGTCAGGTGGCGGC